TCGAGTCGACAAACCGCTGCAACGTGGGTTTCTGCACCGACCCTTTGATCGACTTTTGGCGCCCCAGTCCCTCGACCGAGGCGATCTGCGACCCTTGCCTCGGCAACTTGTGGTCTACTGTCTTGCACCACTTCGAGATTCGCTCCATCGACTCGTACAGACGCTCCATGTCGGTCGCGCAGCTGATGCGAATGTACCCGGACGCGGCGGGACCAAAGAACTTCTCCGAACCCGGCACGACGCTGACCTGCGCGTCGTCCCGCAGCCGCTGCACCACCTCCTCCGACGACATCGGCAACGCAGCCGTCATCTTGGCCCACACCAAGAACGTCCCTTGCGGCACCACGCACTCAAAACATCCCGTGCGGTTCAACGCCTCGGCCACCAGCGCCGTCGCAGCTTGGCAATGCGTGGCAAACGCCTGGTTCCATCCCAAGCCGTGCCGAAGTGCACCCACCGCCGCCATCTGACTCATGCTGGACACCCCCTCGACAGTCGAGAAGAAGCCACCGTGGTCCGCCAGCGCGTGCGCGGCGTCCGCCGACGGAGCCAAGACGGCACCGACGCGAAACCCCGCCAAGGCAAACCCCTTGGACAACCCGTACACCGTCCACGTCTTGGGGTAGAACGTGAGCATGCTGTGGAAGCTTGGCTTGTCGGCCACCGTGTCGGACCAGACCTCGTCCGAGATGATGGTGACGTCTCGCGCGGTGGCCCACGCCGCGAGGGCGTGCAGGTCGTTGGCCGAGTAGACGAACCCGAGGGGGTTGTGTGGGTTGCAGATGGCCAAGAACTTGATGCTCGGGTGGTAGTGGGCCTCCAGCACCGCCAGGTCGAGGCCGGCGCGCGTGACGGGAAACCGTACGACCCGGGCCTTAGTCTTCTGGGCTGTGAGTGGAATCAAGAAGTCGACAGGGTCCGGAATCAGGATCGCGTCGTTGGGGCCGAGGAGGTAGTTCATCACGACGGACAGGGCGGACGCGGCGCTGTTGACGGCCAACACTTGGTCTGGGGACACGGCGCGGTGGCGGGAAAAGTGACTCGCGATGGCTTGTCGGAACTCGCTGAGGCCCATCGCTGGCGCGTACGGGAACACCCTCGTCGCCACTTCGCGCTGGAGAAAGTCGACGACGCGGTCACTGCAGGCAAAGTCCGGGTCGGCCGCCGTCAGCGGAATCACGCCTTTCGGCACCGTCGCCCACCGGTAGTTGAACGCTCGTTCCCGCAACACCGACAGCGGCGCCATGCGCAGCGGCTCCGTCGACTGGCTGCTCGACACCTCAAACACTGGTGCCTTCACGTGCATCCACGAGTTGGACGGCGTCGACTTGAACTTGGACGCAAAGAGCAGCCCCTCCGCCACCACCGGCTTGGTCGCGTCCAAACGCCGCTGCGAGTAGACCGGTCCCGCCACGCCCACGTCGTTGTCGTGTTCCTGCAGCAGCTGCACAAACTCGACGATGTCGTCGATGGCGCCGTTCACACCTTGGCTGCTGAACGGGTGGAACTGGTGCGCGGCGTCCCCAAACAGAACCGCTTTGCCTTTGTGCAGCGTCTCGACGTTCGAAACGGCCGACGCGTACCAGACGTACGCCGTGCACTCATCTTGGTCGGCGA